TAAAACGAACTTTCGAAAATATTCCTTGGAATGGTAATTTAAAAAAATATTCTCGATAATTTACACGCGTTGTTATAAGAATTCCATCAGAGTAGAATTCATTCTTTTTCTTTATCATATAATTAACGTTAATTACAGTACATTTTTCTAAAAATCACCAAAAATTTCCACTTAACTTAATTATTCGAAGCATTAGTTACACGTAAATTACAATATAACACATTGTTAACCCCTTAACCTATGATTTCTTTTCTGACTATGCATCTAAGCGTCGGTAATGTAGTGTTTTGATACTGTATCGGGTAACAAAAGTTTATCTGTTATAGATTAATTACATTTAGTAATTCTTGGTGTTAGAAATTCAAACGAAAGTTAGGATTATAACGAATTTTTCTTATTAATATAACTATTTTTCTCATATCTTGACTAGAATTTCTGTCACGAGTCTGACTCGTTGTTGTAGGTTAAGGGGTTAATAAATTACAAATAAATCAGTGCGATCCGTTTGTTCAGAAATGAAATTTTAACTCTCGATTTAAAGAGCCAATTAGTTTAGATAAATTGTTGAAGTTGACAGAAAAGCTGAGTCCTGTGTATCCGTTTGTAGAAAATTTCATTGAGCAAACGTTTGTTAAAGGAGGTGTCAGCGTACGAGACAGAGAACTACGTCGATTTTTTTACTCTTCGGAAGAATACAGGTACCATTGATGGCTACGTATGACTGTATGCACAAGGCAGCGTATCAGTCGCAAGTCGATGTCGCTTCTATATCTAGGGGGTTGATTAAAGTGATGAAGGAGCGGCTTCGATAAGGCTTAGCTTGATCGACGTCGATTAAGTTCTCGTTTATACTCGGTACACCTTGGCGGGCACACTATTCGATTATTCCAGATAAATGACCCCCACCCCCCCTGAAAATCCGATGAAAATTATTTCATTCGTATAGGTAAAAACGCGAATAGAAGATGTTAATTTGAGTAACGAGTAAAAATTCATTTTATTTTATATTTAATGGTAATTTAATTATTTTAGATCTCGTTTAATTTTATCGATAGCGATATTTAGGAAATTTGTGGTTTAAGGTGCGTGGAAAGAAACTATTATTGTAATGTGTCTAAAAATTGCTTTTTACTGTGTATCAGAGACTAATTGGAAACTTGTGAATGAAAAGTTGAACAAGAGATTATCAATGAAATTTTAATTTTTAATTTTTTGAGAAATTTTGTATTTTTGTTTTAAATTATAATTTGTTATTTTTGAAATTATGTAAAATTGACATTATTCGTGCGATTTAAATGTATCGAACGATCGTTCGGCATTGGGGAAAAAATGGCTTTTCATTCGGTACCATTTCATTTTTGCGCATCGATTTTTTTTTTAAGTAACACATATGAAGATTTTACGATATTACGAAACTGCGAAAGTTCAATGAAGTGCACGCAATGCAGAATTTGAAAAGCTGGTCGTACAATGAAAAGTAATGGCGGGATAACAAAGAAGTAGTAGCGATCATGTTAAACTACGATAATAGTATAATGAAAAACACGTTTGTAATCGTTATTACCGTTCTATATATCTCTTTTAATTATTTTCTTCGTTGAATATAGTCCCAAAACTCAAAATTGTACTTTTATAGATTTAAAAATTATAATTTTTAATTTTATGTCACTCAATGAATTATATCTTTATTCAAAATTCCTATTTTTTATTTACAAAATATTTCAAGAGATACTTCGAATAAAACAAATTCCTGTTTACATTTTTAATATTTAAAAAAATTCTAACTTCTAACTTTTTCATGGTTATTTCGTAATTCGTCGTTTTGGAAATAACATAAAAGTTAGGAGGATAGGGCTTTCTTAAAAATGTTTTCACCCTCTGGTAATCATCTTAAATCTTGATGGAAAGGGTGCGAGCAACTATGTAACAAGTATGACAAACCAGCTAAAATGCCAGTGTACTACTAGCCGACTTTTACTGCGAAAAGAACGCGTAACCTTTAAGCAAGCACAATCCCTTTAATTTATCAGCTTAGTTCTGGCAATCCGCTTACAAAATTTGGTCGCCAGTAAAATTGTCACATATCAGATGTTTTATATTTAACACTGTAACACCGGGCTTGTGACTTAGAAACTTTTACGTTCACATTCCAGAAAATCATTTCTTCTTTAGTACATTTCATTAGTTATTCAAATGTATCTTCTAATTGGACAATTAGACATGACACTCTGAATGCGAAGAATTAAAAAAAAATTGAAGAAAAAACTGTCTAGATCTAGAATAGATCATAAGAAGGGTTAAAAGTAGTCGTTAATGGAAACAAAATTTTTAACTTACGGTCAACAATGTATACTCTTGTTTTTTAACTAAAATGTTATCATTTAATCAAAGTACTTGTACATTTACAAGTGATTTTACCAGGTTGAACAGTTTTGAGATCGAACGATATAATCGATCGCTATTAAAATGAAACAAAGAGAGTGGTAGTACCAAGAAAAATCTTTATTATTGAAAAAAAAAGAGTGACAGTGCCCAGAAATTCAACAAAATTGCTAACGTTTCCTACGATTAAACGATTCGACAGATTTCTTCATTCACTTCCGATTTTTCCTTCAGGATCGCGAAATCGCGCACCTTGCTATTGAACGAACTTAACTTCCGTCGATCTTCTGAGACACTTTCAAACAAATAGAAGAGAGAAAAAGCAAACTGTGCAAAAAGACGAAATAATCAGTGGAACAATTGGTGTGCGCGTGCGGAACGCGATATTTCCTCGCGTAAGACTGTTCTGTAGAAAAGTGTGTCCGCATAATATCACGTTTATAGCAGAGGTTGGCACATGCCTGCCAGCTTTACCACATCGCGGAAGCCCTTTAGGGTTAAGGAGATATAAAAGATGAGACAACGCGGTTCTCGGCGTGTTCGTCCTCGACCTAATTCTCGCGGCAACGAAAACTTAACTAGTCCAATATCCTGCACGGAAACGTCTTCCTCGTTCGATCAGTCGAACGACATCTCGCCGGGGTGCTCGAACATCGAGGAACGACTCCCCGAACTTCCAAACGACGCCTCCAATCACGAGAGACCCGGTGTTAATGAACGTCGCACGAGGTCTGAGAGGTATATTCTTTGTCTGACATCGCGTCGCTATTTTTTTCTTATTTTCGTGTGAACTACAAAGCTTGAAAGATTTCAACTTGAAAAAAAGTGAACTTCACTTGAAAAATTTAAACTTACTGTGTGTAAAGTTCGGATACGGCGAAATTTAACACGTTGAGTGCTGGCGTGAATGCCACGTGACTTTACCATTCGAGCCGCGTGGGTCATCGATGACCCACGCTATTGGATTCATTACGTATGTTACTTTTCGACAGTAGTACGCAAGAAATGGAAAGATTTGCTTTAAGAATGAAAAATGTACCGCTGTTTCGCATGGGTCACCGATGACCCACGCCATTTGCATTTATTATATATGGTATTCTTTAATAGCAGTACGTCAGAAATGGAAAGATTCGCTGGTGAACTGAAAACATGCGACTATTTCGCGTGGGTCACCGATGACCCACGATATAATAATTGCACTATATTTGATAATTATGTACCAGTTAGATGATATTGCGAAATCATTCACGATAACGTTTTTCTATACGGCCCGAATGGATAGTCTAGCGTGGGTCACCGATGACCCACGCGGCACTCGACGTGGTAAGGTAACACAGCTGATGAATAAAAATATCATTGTTAACCCTTTAAGCGGTCGTATTGTCTACTCTGAAGCACCAAAACAAAAAACCATCGTGATTTTTGCCTGCACTTATCACACGATGGAGAAATATAAAATGTTTAAAAATTTTTGTATAAAATGAATTGTGTTAAACATATGTAAAAATGAAGAAACAAAAATATTAGAAACTTTGTATTTATAATCTTGCGTTTATACATTGTTAGTGTTCGTTGAATGAAAATGAATTCCGACCAAGCTCACCAGCACCCATGTCTCTGAGCTCAATACGACCACAAAGGATTAAGAAGTATAATATAAAGATTAATTGAAGATCGAAGTATGGAATTCAGTGTTGCTTTTGTAGCAGATGAGATACGTTTGATCGGTATATTTTAGTATGAGATGATCAGTAAATATTTAATTCTGCCCCCTATGCACTTGAAACATCAGTGCACAGATGTTCTAGGTAGTATTTGATTTATATGAAATCTAATTCAAATAAACGACTTCTAATATCAGAAACAGTTATTGTTACGGAACAATTCCTAAAAGTTGTACAATACGTTGATTTTCGCAATGATTCAATGTCGATAAGAGTGTGATGTGTTCCCTGCTTTTCCTGATGCTGTTATATTATGCATATACAAATCGTTCAAATTGAAACGCAAAAAAAAAAAAAGAAATTTATTCTATCGTAACTTGAAATTATGTGAAATATGAAATTTGAGAGAAACGTGAGAAAAAAAAATAGACACTGTGTGTATTCTCGTTCTAAGCATCTTTAACGTATTCTAACTTTCAAGGGAATCGTAGGAAGTATAATTGGCGATGACACCAACGAATTTACGTATAGGTATTGAAAAGGTTTCAAATGGCTGTGTCCCAGTCAATACAGTTTAAACGTAGAATGCTTCATTCGCTAACGATTGACTATAGGGCTGGTTTCAGTGACTGCGAACCTGCCGGGACGTTTCCCGGAAACTCAGCGGGCAGTTCGTCGAATAGCAGCTTGTCGACGAGAAGTCTGGATAGTCCGAGTACCAGCCTGGAGCAAGTGCACCCAGCCACCTCGGCGACCAACACATCGACCTCGTGGGACAGCGATGTTGATGTTGAACCGGATCCACCTGACTGGAGTCAGGGTGTCGCCGAGGATGTCCTCTCCCGCCTCAGCAATGCGGAGAAAAAGCGACAAGAAGTCATCAATGGTTAGTATCTTTTGTATCTGATTTGATGGTAGTACCATTCACACTTGATACAAAAAGCAAATCTTTTGTTCGGTGAGAAAATTATTCGTTAACATTGTTTTAAGTCCGAGTGGACCTCCAGTGTCTCATACCAGAAATCCATGATTTTCTCTCTGATTTCCATGCATTCGAAACCGAGCAACCTCCCAATCCGAAATGTAAAGAGGGTTAATGAAAATTGGTTAGAATATGTAGGACTCTGGACTTAAAGGATTAGTTTTTTGAACCTGAACGCTAAATTTCTCTCGTCCTTCCGACACATCGTGGAATTTTATTGGAATATGGAAATTTATTAGTACAGCTTTATCGAAAACAGAGAAATGAAATATTTATGTACTGTGATAGTTATTTGTTAAATCACAACTGATTTGTTTCTCCTTTTCTTTTGCAGAACTCTTTCACACAGAGCGATCTCACGTGCGAGCGCTGAGAGTGCTGTCGCACGTTTTCCACAAGCCGCTCCTCGAATCTCAAGTACTTCCGTTAGACCAAATACAGTTACTGTTTTCTAATTTAGATGAAATGGTAACGATTCATTCGCGGTTCAATCAAACGATGAAACGCAAGAAGAAGGAGACCCCGTGCGTGGGCGATGTTGGCGACCTGCTATTGGAAATGTTCGACGGTGAGAACGGGGAAACCTTCGAGAGGGCTGCATCCACCTACTGTGCGAAACAGCAAGTGGCCCTTGACGCTCTTAGAGATCGTCGTCGCAAGGATCCGAAATTGAATTCCTTCCTGAACGAGATCGAGGCGAATCCCCTTTGTCGAAGGCTACAGCTCAAAGATCATATCCTAACGGGGATGCTTAGACTGACCAAATATCCTCTGTTATTCGAGAACCTGGCGAAATACACGCCGGAGAGTAACGAGAAAGAGCGTACCGCGGTTTTAAGAAGTCTCGATCGTAGCAAGGAAATTCTTAGCTGCGTTAATCAAGCGGTACGCGAGGCTGAAGATTATCAGAGGCTGGCAGAGATCCAGCGTACGATCGACAGATCAGCGTTTGAAAAGTTCGATCATCCGACCGTTCAAGAGTTCAAGAATTTGGACATCACTAAACGTAAATTGATCTACGAAGGTCCGTTGCAGTGGCGTAGAACTGAGCAGAATCGGGCTAAGCCCGTTGATTTGCATGTAGTACTGCTCGACGACACGATACTGCTGTTGCATCGACAAGACGAAAAGTACCTGCTAAAGTTCATCAACATGAACCAAGCGAACTCCGTGTTGAGTCCTATTGTGAAAGTGTCCACCGTCCTCGTTAGGCATAATGCCGTGGACAAAAATTCCCTCTACCTGGTCAACACTTCACAGAACGGAGCGCAGATCTATGATTTAGTGGCAGCCTCGCCCGCGGAACGAAAACTATGGTGTAAGCATATCTCCGAGGCAGCTGAAGCATACAAGGCTCGTGATAAGCAAGGTAGACGACCTACTCCACCCACTACACTGCCAGAAGAACCTGGACCCATGATCGAGGATCCTTCTTCGACGGAACATGACAATATTCCTGATAAGACGGATCAGGAACAGGAGCAAGAATCTGAACCGAAGGAACCTGTCCAAGATACTAGCGTGGAACAAGAGGGAGAGACGCCTAATACCCCTGGACCTGATATCACAAGAACTGAACAAGTGATACTGCAACAACAGCAACCGAACACGTCTGAACCTCCTACAACAGGTTTAGTAATTTTAATATATTGTTTGATTGTTTTTCAAATTAAACTGAAAATTGGAATCTGTCTTAACGAAAAGAAAAAAGAAAAAAAAACGAGGTAAAAAATCGGGTGACTTGATTTATTTTAAAGGTGTTCGTTAATATTCTTAAGTAGAAATGAAATTTTGAAAGAAATGATATTTTATTTCTTAAGTAGGTACAGGAGAACCACTACGATTGGTTACTTGTACACAAGCATCGTTAATTGATCCGCTCGAAGTTCACGTTGAAGTACCACCAGTACACGTTGCGGAACCGGTGCTTACACCTATAGGTATACTATTATTTATTCGTTATATAAATGTAACTTCTGTGATTTATAAATGGAACTAAAATTAACAATGAAATTAACGATATTTTAATTTTTATAAGAAACGTAATTACTTTATTTTCATTTTCAGAATGTCTCAGGAGAAAAGACGAAATAATTAAACAAGCATTGATCGAAAAACAATTATTGGTAGCAGATATCTTAAATATTCCAAAAGAAGACTTCGAACATGTGGCAGATATGGCGTCTGAGCCATCAAGCATGGAAAAAGAACCTGCTGAGCTTATACTGGCTGCTATTAGTCAAGGTATATTTGATAAAAAGTAATATTTATTTGATTTTTAAACTATTTTAGCGATGAGGTTTTTCATGCAAATTGTTAATTTAGGGAAATATAATCTTCAATAATATTTAAAACATTATATGTAATTGTTTGCATGTAATATTTTGTTTTATATTTGCAGCGAATCAATTGGTAGGAATGTTAAATTCTGCGTTAAACGTAAGCGAAACAGAAACTGTTCTTGCATCACGTGGAGCATCTGCATTAACAACACCATCAAGCTGTGAGGCAACTGGTTGTCCATCGCCACGAATGCATCTTCATCCTCAACAACCAGCAATATCAATTGCGAGCTTACAACCAGTATGTCACTCTTTGACGTCTCAATTGTCGCAACTACTGGTAAGATTTATTTTCTTAAAAGCGAAATTGAAAAAATAAAGTGATAGTTTTTTTTTTAAATAAAATATTTCGTTCGTAATACATAAAGAATTCTAATATTTCTTTTATTTCCTTATAAATTGTAGGAAATTATAAAAGAAAGGGAAGAGGAACGAGAAACGTTGAGAAAAGAATTGCGCAGAAGTAGAGAACGTCTTCATGCTCTTGATGCAGATATACAACGTCGCGAATTTTCTGAAACATGCACCACATCGATCCAAACACAAACAGAACCCGGTTAGTTCCTTATTTTTTCAATTTTTCAGAACATAGGTTGGTAATATTAATTGATCGACATACGCATTTTGTTCTTTAATAAATATAATAATTAAGTATTTTATTTCCAGGTGAAATTTTAAACAAGGATAGCAGTATCGACGATCCCATTCGTGATGTAAGAAACTCAATTTAACGAATTATCAGATTAACTTACAAAACTTTATAATTAAAATATGAATATGATATATTCTATTGTCAGTATTGATTTTAACATGATACTACTCTCTATCCTTTTACCATAAACTCTTATATTGTAAATTTAAAGTTGATTCTCTGTACAGGAGTTTGTGGATGCACGAGGTGAATCCGAAACGAACGAAGAATTGGAACATACAGAACATGAGACAGAAACAGATGTAATGGGAGATAGTGTCGGTTGAAACGAGCGGAACATTGTACTAAATAATGTCGACCAGGTGCATTTCACGAGCAAGATTGTTTCCAAATGCTCATACTGGAAGAAATCAAAATTATGTAAAAAATGACAAATGGCGAGTAACTGTTTATGGAATACAATAATATTAGATACATATTTGCAGAGTCATGGGTCAATGATTAATCATACCTTTGCCAAAGATTTTATGTAACTGGATTTATATGACGTAAAGTCACGCGCACGCGTCACATTATGTCAATGACTGCAAATCACGTGAATTTTTTATTAGGAATAGTATGAAGATGCAGTTTCTAAAATGATGTGATAAGTGATGTCTCTTCTAAAGAAATAAAAAAGGAATCTCAAATAGATTGTTAAGTCTACTATAGATTAATCTTTCTCTTCTTAGTTAACATACACAGATATAAATACCTAGATTAGCAATCTAACTGGGAGTCCAATTTCTTGATTGAAGAATTCTTTCATTTTTAATTATTTTAAAATCTGCATTGTTATACTATTCTAACGATACCTATTACTGTATAAAAGTTGTTACAACCTGTCTAGAACGACATCGATTTCTATAACATATTGTTTTATATACATCAATTTGTATACCGAAAATTTTTTCTCGAGATGCTTTTAGAAAACTAAAGTCAACTCTCTAAAAGTTACTTTGAAATACTTATTGTTAGTGCATTTTATACAAAAACATTTACGTAAATACGTTATACGCGTTTAGAACAATTTAGTTGTTCATCCAAGGAAACATACTTTTTGTGATCTGCTACGGCATATTTGGAACCAACTGTGTTGTTATTGTAATAACTCAATAGTCATAAAACATAATTTGCATTTACATAAAGGTATATAATCAGAAGTTGCGTCGATATTTCAACATATGTAAAGAAATGCAAAGTAACGATTTTCGACGCAGTATTATTGCGTAACACGCTTTTACATACTGTTCTTACATCCCGTGACCAAATGTTCAGGATATTCAATCCGGAGGCGGCAAATGTCGATTGGTTTTTAAATTATTCGAAGTAACAAAAAGAAAAACACCGTGTAATAGTAGTTACTAATATAACATACTATATTTCTACTATAATATAAAGTAGGAAGGCAAACGTGCTTGAATTCTAATATTTAACTTATTTGTTATTATTATTTTTATTACTATTATTATTACGATTATTATTATTAAATTTATTGCTGCCTTTAAGTATTATTTTTATACTTCATTTTAATTTTA